GAAATGACCCTCGAGGCAAACGAACATCCCGCTGTCTAAACATTCCCGCAACACAGTTATTACCAGTTTACTCGTAGCACTACTTCAATGTCCCCTTTTTAGAACGACCCACGTCTGGCCCCTGATGGAAACCACCAACGTCTCGACGTTTCGTCAAACACGGCCGAGGCCACGAGGAAACACCGCGATCTCCGGATCCCGCGGCCGTTCGTGTCCCCGACAGCGAGCGGCCTCTAAAACGAGCGTCCTGTTGCGGGAAGCCTTGTTAAGGACGGATGGGGCGCGACGACGACGAGACCCATTAAAAGTGATTAAAATGCCGGAACAGGCAGCCTTCAACGGACGGACTAGATCAACGAGACGACAGCCAAGGACGGACGGTGGACGGCTCTCACGCTTGCTTGCGTATGCAGGCGTCCATCGACCGCGATGGGAGCAAACAGAAGGCCGAGAAACGCTGAAGACAAGGCACCGGTTTCACGATGGCTACCCGCGTTTTCGTATTCGTAGACATGAAAATCTAATCTCTACTAGCAAGAAAGTCCGTATGGATACGTGACTCTTCCAGCTGGCGGTTAACGGGCGCCCGATTTTGGGAAGCAATTGGAACAGGTACGTATGCCTTCGACAGCCTCGTTAGCCGCATTTTGCTTGCACAGCCTGAGGGGAAAGTCTGATCATTTCGAGTAGACCGCGAAAATCTACCACACTCTATTGTTCTTATAAGAGCCATTCGGGGGCCAAAGAAGGGGGGGGGCAGGACAGCAAGGTGTGGTGTTCTAGTTTCCGTTGCCGCGCAAGCCTCACAGTTCGGTCTATCCGTTATTTATCACCGGTGCAAAGTGATCTTAAAAGCACTATACTAAGGCAGCTTTTTTTACGTCTAATCAGAAATGTAACAGAAAATGGGGATCATCAAAGATGTCCAATTTCATGCATCAATTTCGGTGCCAAGCAGTTCAATAATTCAACAAAACTGCCCGACAGTAACTCTGAGCGACCACTTGAAAAGTCGGTAACCCATCCTCTTTCGTTTCCCTCGCTTTTCTCGCCGTTGAAAAAGAAAAACCAAGTGGCGATTAAACGCGTCACCGCGTGGCAAAGCCGTTGGTAGGAAACGAAGCTCGGCCTCCATGCAAAGAAGTTCGGCTTCCTCGGAGCAGGCGGCACGAGCGCGTGTCCGATGGATTCAGGCCGCCACGGTGGAGCACCGGCAGGCAGCGACCAGGAAGTGACGGCTGACGGCATGCGGCTGACCGCTCGCTCCTGGGCCTCGCACGACAACCGACCGGACCGATCAGCGGTGATGGAAATCGCAAGCCGCCGAGTCAACAAGATGTGGAACGCTCATCAGAGTGGAAAGCCGAGCAAGATTAACCGTCTGTTTCAGTGGAGCACGGTGGTTCAGAGGGGCAGTGGCCATTCGCGAGCAATCGAGATTGGATCGGCCCACTTCAAACATCGTGGGACTTTTCGGTCGCGAACTCATGGGCAGAGTCAATACGACGTGAACCTTAACGAAAATGTGGTCACACACGGAACAGACAAACACCTTGGTGACTCTTATTAAATGCTTGCTTTACCGTTTTATATAAAAGAATGGAACGCACGACTTGGCCAGCTTATAGCTCTAAATGAGACTAATATATTTGCAACTGTCACTACCCTCTGCCTCCCTAATACACAACACAGATTTCAGTATTTTATTATTATTTTCATGTTGTATTTATTTAACTATTTTTAACATGTGCTATACTCCACTGATCTCCACTAGAGGGGGCTGGATGGCGCATTCAGCAAACAGCAACGTTACTAAAACACTCAGTTGGGACACTCGCCGTCGAAACCTGGGCCGCTAGCGTCCACCGAGACCGAGCTAAATACGACAACAGCGCCACTCTTTATCATTTGTCTGTACTGTGGTCACATTGAGCTTTTAGAAAGCATGTTTTTGTGTAAAAACGAACGGAAAAGACTCTTTTTGTATGAAATTTTTTGGAGTTTAGTACAAAATGAAGGGCGCGTGATGTTTTTATAATCTTTAGTTTGCAAGGTTTTGCGGAACAATTAATATTGTTTTTATACAACCATGCCTCAGCGGTGCTTTCAGGTAGCGCGCCCCGACATAGGTGCATTTTAACTTCGGTAGTAATTCGCGGCGGGTCCGCTGGGGAGACGGGGGTGACACCCCTGTAACCTCTTCCGCTGTACCTGTTTCGACGCCAAAATGGCCGATTAAAGCCAAAATAGAAGTAACTTGCAGTTTCTCGAGTGGCCGCTGCGGGAAAAATGGCGGCGTTGTGTTCGCCATTAGCTCGCTTCTGGAGGACAGATCGGGGCCACTTTTTCAGAGCAGTCTCTATGGCAGTTACCCAACTGAGTGGTTCTAGTAACGTTGGCAAAAAGGTATGAAGCCACCGGAAGTAAGCAGCTTGTCCCGGAAGTGAACGCTTGGCAGGCTTTGTCACCTTTCCGAGTTCTGGTTCGAAAAGCGTCAAGGGCGCTGGATTTTCGCTTGTTCCCTCAAGAGAGCCTGCTTGTTGTGCAGTAAGAGCGCATGCAGGCCCGAGAGGTATCATGGGAAGCCATTCGATGTAAACATTTTGAGATTCTAGTTGATCAAATGTGAATATGTCCCAAGTTCAAATGCCTCACTCTCGGAATTTAGTCCAGAACGGGAGTATTAAAACCCAATCAAAGACACAAAAACGCATAGTCCAAAATTTCGACTAAATGCACTAGGAAGCCCAGTGCACGCCCGACTTCCGGGACAAGCATCGAACTTCCGGTGGCTACACTTGTGCCACGCTCGGAGAGCAGCTAAGCGCCATCCAGCCCCCTATAGTAGAGATCAGTGGCCTACTCCCTCTACCCGTTTAGGTCCTCGAAAAAAGATATATGCTGATGATGATGATAATTAAGAGTTATTAATATATTCTTTTGAGCTCCGCTAACGGTACCCGATAACAATACGATGCCGGCAACAAAGGCGCCGGCAAACTATCGGACGTAACTAACGGAGTTATTGGAGCGCTCTACTGAAACTCTCGTAACCTCGCCAACCTGCAAAGAGAATTAAAATTTGTACACTGTGACCAGATCGACAACGAGACGTTCTACAGACATAACTGCACGTCCGCTTAGGAGAACTTTGCGGGGCGAAACGTGGAAGCTCTGCAACGAAGACTTGTGCGAGTATAACCGTGGGAAGCTGCTTATCGCCGCGGTTTCTAATCTGCCTCAGCCGACCGCGCAAGATGGGAAAAGAAAAAGGAGAAGAAAGGCCGAATTCCTCAGAGTTCGTTTCTCGCTAAAGCCCTTTCTTTTCGCAAAATCCAATCTCACTGGACTCGCAGTCGGCCGAAGCATTCGGAGCGAGGCAAACGTGTTTGGTCGCCTTTGTTTTCGAAGGGCCCACACACAAACAGGCGTGAAATGGCGGTCGCGGGAGTGCGTTCAACCGACGTGCACCTTTACGATTTCGTTTATTATTATTTTAATTGTCCGCGTTCTCCGTACTCTTCTTTACCATCGAAAGCTTACACATTTTCTGTGTGCGCGCGAAAGAGTTAAACAAAACAAAAAAGTGCACGGTTTGTTCCAACTCCGCCCTTTCTTTCTTTTTGGTATTGTAGTCATTTTCTCAAACTCCTAACAGGTTGCCACGTTCGTAGATGGGTGAGTCGGTACGTGTTACAAGGAAGCTAAAACACCGCAAATCGGACACAGGGACGAGTAGAATGCGAGAAGAAAACAGCTCTGTGTCTATGAACCCCTTCCATAGTCGTCCCTGCGTCCGTTGCACGGTTTTATTTAGCACAAGGGGTTCGGACCGGAAAGAGAATTCCAAGAAGGGTACAGCGGATTGGGTTCTAAAATGTTAAGAGTAAGAAATAGAGAGAAAGAGAAAGGGTACTGAAAAGGTAATATCAGAAACAGCTTTTAAATTTAGTACAATTGATTTTTTTTTTCAATGAACAACATGGAAAAGTCGCGCCTGTCTTTAAAAAAATTGCTCAAAAAGAGTCTACTAGAACCTTTTACAAAAGTGCTTGTAGCAGTAGTAGTTCTATAGTAGTAGTGCTTGTCCTCTGGTAGCTGCTGCGCCAATTATACGAATCTGCCATTGCTGCATGCAGATACACAGTATCCCCCCTCCCCTTTACTTTTCTTTCTTCTAAAATTTGACAGGGTTGTTTACAACGCAAAAATAAACTCCGCGTCGTCGAACGTTCTAGTACTAACCGCTTTCTTATGAACGATTTTTCTGAAATGTTCAATGGGGAAACAGCGGCCGACGAAAGCTCCCGAATACATGGAGCTGACTTGGTACCTGGTTACCGAAAACTCCCGAAAACGGGCCCCATATTTCCCAACGAAATATTTTTTTTTTTTTAGAAAATCACTTTTATAACTTTTGAACGAGATGCAGGTTATAGTTGCAAAGCTTTGGCTTCTTGTTCGGACCGCTATAGCACTACATTTGGGCGAAGAATCAGCGTAACTTGTTTTATGCCATAAACAAAAAATGAAAACCGCTTTTTTTTCTTTTTTGCCGTTGTATCTTGGCTTGATTCAATCACACGCCTCATTCCCAAGGAATGGCGACTGCCAGTGTTGCTCGATGAGGTTTTGAAAAGGGGCTATTGATGCCGGACGCACCGCCACTACATCGTGGATACTTCCACTCAGATCAACGACCCACACACGATCCATTCAAGAACCTATACGGCATGACGCGAGAGGTTACTAAATTACCACCGTATAATGATTATTTTTCCTGTCAACATTTTCATTCCGGTCTCGAGAGTTTAATCAGCAGCCAACTAAGTAGAGACAGGCTCTCCAGATGCAAAAATCGGAACGACGCAAGAGTCAATGACGAGACTCTCGCTTCGTCGTAAACTACACACACCAGGAGGAAACTACCGCAAAGAGAATTCCAAAGAGCTCATTCAGTTCCCCGCCGAGTGGGGAATTCGAGAGACCGGAGCACTCACCGTCGTGGTTTCAGCGACACAAGCAGTGAGTCCTCCAAGGTCACATCACATTGCCTGCAATCGAAACAAGAGAAGGGAACCGTAAGAACGCCGCCGAAAGAACATAACCGTAAAAGAACGCGATCCTCCGATAGCGCTAATCCCCCAACGACAGCGCACAGTTTATGGCGTGGGAGGAGGAGAAAAAGGGTGACTACACATCGTACGTAGGCCTCGATCGTAAAACCGTACTCCGTTTCAGCTTGCGATGGATCGCAGCGGACGCTATGAGCGCGATCCAAGCCAATCCAGTGCAGGAAACGTATCACGTGACTGCAGGCCCCGCGCGTCGCCGCTCCCTTCTCGAAGGTCATGTGACGCTTACACGCCATTGGATTGGCTTCGGCGGCTCGTAGCGTTTGCTGCGGTTCCTCGCAAGGCGAAAAGGAGTGCCGTCGGTAAGCAAGCTTGCTCCGACCGAATTATTTCGTACTAGATTGGAGAAAAAGGACTGGTCTTCCCTCAGAACGGGGAGGATGATAAGAGACGAAACCGCACGGTATTCTCGAGGAAGAATCCCGCCGTCGCGGTGCTTGAGAGCGATCGACGGAATTAAAGGACATTTAAATCGTCGTGTTTTAAGTTGTCGGGCTTTGTTTTCGAAAATCTTTGTTGGGATCGAGTTCCGACGAAGGAGTTTCATCGAAGCTTGCATCGCGCGTGCTGAACTGTTCGCGTTTGAAAGTATTCAAAATGACTGTATTTGTTTCATCTACCAAGAGCTATCGGATGAATCTACCTCGTGGGTTGGAGCAACAACGCCTGGAATAATCAAAGCCCGTGCACTAGCATCCCTATATGTTTATTTATTTATTTATTTATTTATTTTTGTAAAGGAATGATTTATTTTTATACGACTGCCCCGCGTCACACCTCACGTGTGACGTGATGTGTCTGTGACGTCAGGCATCGTGCGCTATCTTTGACGTCACCCGTTTTTGCGTGTCCTTTGACCCGAGCGGCAGATTAGGGAAAGAAAGGAGGCAAGCGTTGATGTTTTTGACCAGTTAGTGGCAACACTAAGGCGAGGAAAATGAATTAGCGTCATAGAAAATAGGTCTGTCGTCTTCGAGCCGAGTGGGCTAGCACACATTAGCTCGGAGCACGTGGAGCGAAAGCTCCCGCTGCAGAACCCAGGGATCTTGGGTTCAATCCCCACCACTGCCCGCTTCGATCTGGACGAGCATCGTACCGGCATGCGGTCGTGTATCACTACTGCGTGGTGCACGTTACAGACCCCAGGCTAGCGGTTGTACTGCACTGGCTAAATTGCTCATCCACAGCCAAGAGACAAGTCGCTCGTTGAGACACACTAAGTTCCGGCTGTATAAACATACTCACAACACAACTTTAGCAGTAGAGCCCAAAACAAAGCCTAAATAATATAAGATCCCTACAACAAAGGACAGGTACAATGTAAACAAAATAAATAACATTTCAGCCGTAAACTGCACACAACGTAACCTCAGGATAATACAGATACAGTTATGAAAATGTGGTAAAGCCGCCGTAGAAAGAATATCATCATGAAGAGAAACACGTACTAGAAGGTGCTGTTTTTCCGGTTACTTCGTGCACGCAATGTTTGTGCCTTTCGACGGTGTTCACTACTGTACTCCTAGTAAGTGTTTCTTTTTTCCTTTGTCTTCTTCTGCTAACGTTCAGTTCTAAATGCCGTCTTGTAGCTCGCCAAGCATGTCCACACGACGATGCGAAACAGAGCTGAATTTAAGGCGTCGTTTGAACGACGTCATAGATTTGTCGTGTATAGAACCACAAACCAAGTCGAGAACAATGTACACCGCCTTTTTCCCGTCGTCTCGTCACTATGCAGCGAGAGAATGGGGATCAGAAACGCATTTGCAGGCAGGCCTGACCAATAGCGTGCGAACAGAATCCGGAAAATCAGTCCCATTTCCTGTCAAAGATTCAATACAAAAAAAAAAAAAAAAAAAGAAAAAAGGCGCGGGCAAGAAAGCGAGACGCGTATTACGAGCGCAAGCTCCATTGCGCTTTCGTATGCATTATATACAGACGTACGAAACTCTCAGGTACGTTGAAACGAAAAGAATTACAATCCTGACGGGACGAAAAAGCAGCCTCATCATCTCCTGACGGAGCACACACACGTCGGCTAAGAATCTCGGATTTCCTAGACCGTACACAAAACAGGAAAAAAAAAAAGCAAAACAAATGTAAGTGAGCTGTGCTGCGACTCGCGAGCAACACCCATCAATGCGAACCGTTCAGTTGGTGTCTGATACAAACACCAGCGCCAGATAATAAATAAATAAATAAAAACAAAAACGCCTCGCTAAACTTTTGATTTCATTTTTTTTTTTTTTTTTTTCAAAACTTGCGTAAATTTGGTGTCTTAGTAGATCTTTTCGGTGACTCCGATAACAATATCACATGCTCCGGCGACGCCTTTGCACATGCCTCATACGGTAATCGGAGGCATCGGAATGACCTACTAAATCTCCAATAGGTGCGTTCGATTTACATGCACATTCTGCACCGGTGCAGAAAAGTGTAGGGCGGTGTACTTCCGGTCTTATCTCAACGTACACACCGGAAGTACCCTATCCTACACTTTTCTGCACCGGTGCAGGAGGTGCAGGGCAGTTCCGGACACCTCGGCGTATCTCTGCAGCCAGTCGTCGATAAGGACGCTGAAGCACGGAGCTTGAACATCCCATAGGCCGTGCCCCGCATTTATTCAACCTAGCAGCGACTATGCATCGCTGTCTTCGAAACGAGTCCACTCGCCTCAAGCCCCGAAGTATAGGGCTGTTGCGCTCCTCCGATTTGCTTCACTAGGACAGGGGGGGAAGACAAGCTCTCGGGGAAGCCGATAGCCTATACGTGAGTCACGACTGCCCCTCGGATGTACACGATCGCGCCCGTCACATTTGGAAGCAAGATCAGTCTCACCCTGTCCGTCCCCCCCTCCCCGGGGGGCGAAAACGAAACAACGAGACGCGCATGTACACGAGAGCGCGAAATCAGGAATGCCTCGGTTAGTATACTGGCACCCCACTTTCTCAGAAACAGAAATAGGGACCGGCACTGATTCGGCGGTAATAGCTTCTCTTTTCAGCCGTCCGGGATTGTAGCTATAAATACATGCGCAGCAGCAGCACCAGCAGAGGTTCCAAACGAACAGGAGTCACTATAAAGAGACACAGCAACGAGCAACGATGCCGTATTCAGATCTCGGATTGAATTCGCGCGAGCGTATAGCCGTCTTTCGCTTTTTACTTTTTCTTTTTAATTTTGCGATTCATTCTAGTTCCTGGGTGGCTCGACTGTTACTGCAGTGTCTTTTACTGTTGTTGTTGTTCTCCATAATGATGTTTTTAATTCCGATATATTTTCTTGGAAAGGGGGGGGGGGGGGGGGGGTAGTTGTCCGAAAAACAAGAATTCCCCTTGTTCTGACTGGTGCCAACACGAAGCTCTGCTTTCCTCCTGCTAAAATTGAAAATATAGAAAAATAATAAAAAGAAGGCCTTCGCGTCGCCTCGCACGTGTGAGGCTAGCTATAGCTTCCGCATTCTTTTTCAACTTTGTCGCGGAGCGTGTGAGGGTCAGCTCCTTGATGTTTGCGCAATGGGCCCCCGCACGGGTTGTTACAAACATCTTTGAAAATATATTAAAAAAAAGAAAGAAACGTGTCGATTGCAGACCTAGTTGTGATGAAATCGCAATTATGTAAACTAAGTTACTTGGGATTCCACTGCCTGTGCGTAAAAGCGATAAAAGCGATGCCAACGTAAATGAGGGGCTGACACTCCGTGCGACGCGACCGGCGCGCCGCCACGCGGCCGTTACCGAAGGTAGTCAGTGAGAGCCCCAGCGAAACGAAACCACGCCGCGTACATTGGTACGCGTTGAAGTCGGAGTGGTGCGGTTGCGCTGGGTTGACAGCATGAACTGCTGCGTCGTTCAGTGCTCCAATAGTTATGCGTCGTATCTCGTGGGGACGAAGTTTTACAGTTTTTCACCGCGCCGATGTTTTGTGGGACAGCGACAACGATGGACCCGTGCCGTGCGACGCGAGAAATTTGGTCTCCCGATCATGTCTGCCACTGTGTCGGCACGGCTGACATTTTTTACACTGACGCTTTGCGCTCTGCGTTTTTTTTACTACCATTAACGCCTACATATCTCAGCTCGAACTGAAATGCCATCCCACAGTCGCGGGTATGCAGTGCGAATTTCGTTGAAGGAATGCCTTCCAAGGAAGTTTTGTCCCCATCGTACGTGTCGATGATATTTCCGAAACAGAATGGCACGCAGTCTGTACTTCATGAAGAAAGATTCGGACGGTACAAAAAGTGACAAATATGAATCTAAGGAAAACTACAATGAAACGTGGAATCAACGGACAATCGATGTTTGAGTATGGAAGTTTATGTGGTGTGCTTTCTTTTTTGATCAGCCTCCTCTTTTATGTGGAAACGCTGACACCCAGAGTCTTGGAGACAACAATTTTTTTTCTCGGCTTTAGAGCTACCTATCGCAAAGTTGTTCGATTTGGAAGTACCGTCCACTGCTCCCTTCATACCTGTAAAGTGTGCACCTCCCGGCGATGATGAATGGTATTCTCTTGACAGCATTTGGACCGTCAAAACCGGTTCCCATTTAGTTACGCCCCCCAAAAATATTTCCACCTGGTTAAACTATGCCACCTCTTTTAGGTATAATAAGTGTTTTGTCAAGCTACGGTTGTCCAAGTGCCTGTGAGCCGAAAATCAGCACCTCGCACAACCAGATTACTACACAACAGCTGACCGCAAAAGCCTCTGACGGCCAACCTGTGTGTCGGCCGGCAACTTTGTTTTCTCGGCTTTGAAGCCACCTTTCGTAAGGTTGTTTCAATTGGAAGTACAGTGCACTAGTCCCTTCCTACCTGTAAAGTCTCCATCTCCCACGACGAGTGGTATTCTTTTCACAGCCCTTTCAGGGTCAAAACCGTTTCCCATTCAGTTACGCCGCCCAAACCAAATTTCC